GCTAAGGACATAAATCACTCTGCTTACTCTGACAGGTCAGCGCCATGACAACAGAAGGTGAGTTCATCGCTATTGACTAACTCTGTAGAAACCAGCATCCTGTCTGGTAAAGTATTTGACACTGTCTCGTGTTAATGAAAGCACTGAAAGGGTCACGCATCTTCTGTCAGACAGTACTGAATGTGGTCCTGTTGCTTTCCATGAACGTGAAGTTGGAAACCACCAGTCCCATAGCCCATAGCCTCAGTCTTGGCATTTGAATTATGTAAGGCCATCTAAATATACTCTGTCTCCTGGTTTGATTCTCTAAACCAAACTCCCAGGGATGAGTGCACCAGGGGAGAGGGAGAGGGAGAGGACATGAAGCAACAGGGGAGGGGAAGGCGATGGGTATTTCACAGTGCAGTTCCATCTTGCACTCTGCCTCCTGGATCTGACCTGAAAGCTGGGCTCGCTTTTATGCCACATCTGTTTTTATTTTCATCTGCAAAAGAGAATAATAAAAACAGCGCAACCCTGAGCTGTTAGCCTTCCATCCCATTGTCGGGGGGGAGTCACATCAGCGAGCGTGGGTGGGATATGCTGGTGCTCTGTGCTGCAGGGAAAGCTTTGGCTGGCTGGACTTCGTGACATGTTTGCAGTTATGAAACAACAATAAACTCTTTCGAACTTCCCTTCTACTCGAACAAGTAATGCCATTAACTCTATAATTATGTAGGGAGAATTGCTCTGCAATTCAAAAAGTTTAAGGAATTTTTGTTGACAGAAACCACAGACTTCACATTTGTTATATTTTTTAATGAGTGTTGGACGTGGAGTCATCTGTAAAGGACTAGTTCGACATAATAAGAACACGCTTATTTGCAGTAACTTCCTGGAGCGGTAACTATACCCGGCCAAGAAATGGTCCTGCACATAACATCCCTGTGAAACTATGTGTTGTTTTTACAGTTTTTTTTTTGCACAAATGAAACAATGAGATGTGAGCTTTAGAGGTGCTGACAGAAGGATTTTCTTACCTTTTGACAAAGCCTTGCTATCTATTTCTTGAGTCTTTATGCTAAGCTAACTGGCTGCTGGCAGTAGCTTCATATTTACTGAACAGACTAGCATCAATCTTCTCATCTAAATGTTAGTAAGTGAATTTGCATTTTTCCCAAAATGTAGAAATATTTGTTATAACTTTGGGGTTTTCCTATTTATTCTATCATGATGCATTGAACTGAGCTCAAATCGATGGGTTGAGTCCTGAACCCAAACCACCCTGCAGTGGCCCAGATGAGCTCAGCTCGGAGGCTGTCAGGTATAGCTTTGACTTCAATGGCCCAACCAAGCTAAGTTCTAGTCACCTCTCTGCTGAGGGCTGGATTGTCCTGAGTACTGTGTCCAAAAACCTACCCAAATCACAATGACAGGATCACTGGATATTATTTGATTTACTGATTTTCTAACCTCCATACATTTATAATGCGCACAAACTCTGTAGATACCCCAACATCCTCAAACTACACATACCCCACTCAAATACCACACACATAGCACAGTATGCTAGCGTGTGATGCACAGGGGGTGTGCGTGTGGATTTGGCTGCAGCTCTTGGAAGTTGGATTTCATCTGTAATAACAGCCCCACTTGATGGAAGTTGTTGCATAAAATTGAGACACGCTTCTACATACCTTGTAAAAATGAAAACAGCAACAAAAAAAAAAAAAAAAAAAAAAAAAAAAACAAACTGGCTTGTCACGCATCTTGCACAAGTTGAGAAGTGAGAGCAGCTACGATGACCTCAGGGTAGGTTGTACAAGGTTGGCAACTGTGTGGGTTCTTAAGGCATTTAACAACATGTGCATGCAGAGGCACGCGTGATTAAGCAGGTGTGTATATTAGACCATATTTATACAATATATACACATACTGTATACACTATATTAATATGTGTGTGAGTGTGTGTGCATTTGTGTGCATGTATGAGTAATGATCTACAAGGGAGTTGGCAGCAGTACAACGACGGTTAGCACCCTTGTGTGAGCACTTTAGTGGTGAGAGCCATTTGTGTAGAGTATACAAGCAGGCAGCCTGCTGAGAGAGGTACACAGGCCTTTGCTGCCAGATGCCATGCTGGAGATATATTAAATACTCTTGTCTCATGTTTAAGAAACTGTCAGAAATTAGATTATATTAACTCAATTAAGGTTATTAGGTTCGGCATAAAACAGTTTTTGGCAACCAGAAATTAAACGGCTTATAAAACCCAGTGTATACACGCCAAAGGAATATTATCAATGCACTATTTTTATCAAATGGATCATCAAAGATTATCTAAAAGGAGAAGAGCTGCTCAGAGGTGTTTATAAGGCTTAATACCACACTTTTGGATCTCTAAATAAGGTTAGTAGGTTTACATGGCAAGGTTAGACATAATGAACTTGTGTTTATCACACCATCCCCCTGACTCAGTCTGATAAATAAAAGTCTTTGGCGCTAAGTTGGTGCCTGTAAAAGAATTGTATTTAAGCTTGGGCTAGGAGGGTCCTCCTTTGCCCTTCAAGTACTGCAGCATCTTCCCATCACAGCTGGGAAATGAACTCTTTAGAGATTATCAATGTGTTGACAGATCAGTCAGCCTGAGGCGATAACGGTGTACATCAAGTATGTGAAGAGGCCTGATGTGGTATAACTCAAAGAGGTCGTGTAGGTGTTGTGATGAGATATCAGGGTGTATTTACAGCCATGTGTCTTTTGTCTCAGACCCAAAGCTTCTCTGGTGTTGTTGATTCCAGCAGAGAAACGCTGCTCATTCACTTCAAGTCTTTGTGTTGATGCAAACCCACTGCAATTAATGAAATGCTGACAGACACTACACCCACACACCACTGCTACAAAGATGCATCTCACGCATGCAACAAATGGGTGTGAACACAATGTATCCAGTCACTAAAGTGCGTACACACTCACCAGGCCAGTGTTGATGCAGCGCTATTAGAATATTTTGGTTTCTATGTGAAACCAGTAGACGGCCGCAGCATGACTTTTAAGAGATGCAGTAACGCTGCACACATGAAAAGATAATATGACTGAGGAAAGTTCATTGTTTATGACAAATTTGTCCACACATATTTGCAGTGATATTACTCTGGATATATTCTTATTGCTTTTAAAGTTATAACCCTGTCTATGAGTACTTTCTTCCCTTTAGTATTGGTGTTGGTGATTCATGTCTGGATATTGTAAATATTATGGCCAAACTGACTGTGTAGGATGATGGACTTTTCACCCACACTCATCAATTTTTTTAAATAAACTTATGACACATAACTTGATGACACACAAACTGATTGCGTAAATTTTCGGGAACAGAATCCGTAATTTCCTTTCAGTAATGAAATCTTTCACAGGGTTCAATGGGGAATGACCCCCCCCCCAGTGAGGCAGAGAGGCCAGAGAGGGATGTGATGCTGCCAGTGGTCTCTCTGTGAGTGGCAGCCAAAACTGTTGAGAGAACAGTCACGAAATCCATTTGACATGAACCTGAACCAGGCTTGACTGAAATCTGACACGCACAACTGGAGTTCATGGAATATTTTCAGTGGTTGAAATAAAGTACATCTACTGTATTTGAGTATAGTATGCTTATGATATATGTACTACTCTTTACTTATATGACAGGTACAACTACTAGTTACTTTGTGGGTTGAGATTTTTCATTCAATCATCTTATAAAATATGTTTAGTTACAGATTAAAATGGCCAACAGTATATGAAGTAATCAAAAGCGCCAACGCAATAAGCTGCAACGTGCCGCTTACACATTATTGAATCAAGAATAATAATAGATATATAATATAAAATGTGTGAGTGGTTGTTCTATGTGTTTGTGTAATCTCCCTGCAGTTTTTGTGGCAGTTGATATTTATAGGCTTAGATCATTCTCATTAAAAAAAGGATAGAAAAGTCTAAAAATATACTAACAAATAACTTTTCCAAATAACTAACTGGTTTCCATAGCAGAGCTGTATTGTGAGTAGTGTTATAAATTCACATGTTCGCATTCTTTACGTAGAAGTATCCATACTACAATGTACAAATACTCTATTACAAGAAAAGGTACCAATCAATAAAACAAATGCATAATAATGGAGTTAAACAGCAACAATGCATAATATTTTATGTTTACGATGTCAATATTTTATATGTTTAAGAAACTTACGTTTTGCATGTCTATTCTTAATCTGGAAATTAACTCCCTGTAGACGTAAAAAGTAAAAAGTACAGAATTTAGTGGAGTAATAGAAGTAAACCTTTCAAGCACTGGATTTGACCATGCACCTTAGGACACTAGCCCCATTGCTCGTTATTTAGCTATTTATTCTACTTTATTCTATTAGTTCTTCTAAATTGACCTCCTCTTGTTATTATATTATTATTATTATTATTATTATTATTATTATTATTATTATCAGTTTGTGGATACTGCTGGAAACTGTGAATTTCCCCTTGGGGATGAATAAAGTATCTATCTATCTATCTATCTATCTATCTATCTAAAGCATTAACAAACAAAAGTGCAAGTACCTCAACATTTTATCATCAGGTACTTAAATGTCAACAAATGTTCTTATTTACTTTCAAACACTGAGTGTAAGAATAATTAAATACTACTACTACTACTCCTAATAATAATATTAATAATAATAATAATAAGAAGAAGAAGAATAACTTTATCTGTATAGCATTTATCTAAACAAGGTTACAAAGTGCTTGACAGAATAAAGAGATAAAAACAAACAACAAGATAAAATATAATCAATCATAAAAAATAAAAAAATAAAAAATAAAAACCCCAGTTAAAATATATTAAAGTATTACATCGTTTAAAAAGTACACCACACTACAACCATGTCATGCCACACAACCTCCAGAGGAAGGACCGGAGCTGGTGTCAGCAGTGTGAAGCGTTATTTGCGGGTCTGAGGTGATCCAATAGCCCCATCTATGGGCGGAACCGGGCCGTTGCCTCTCGCCACCCTGACACACCATCGCTGCAAAACACAGCACAGGCCGGGCTACTGTCTCTGTCTCTGAACAAGGGCGAGGAAGACCGTGAAGATGTCTGACATGGAAGACGATTTCATGTGCGATGATGAAGAAGATTACGACCTGGTATTTACAAGCGGAATTATTTAATTTGCGTTTAAATTAAAGTCGTTTGTCCGCTGGGGGCCAACAGTGAAGTGCCGGGCTAGCTAATGTTAGCCGTGTCGTTAGCTCGTTGGCTAACACCAAGCTGACAGCGGATGACTAACGTTAGCTTCCTAGCTGGCTAACGATAGTTTTACTACCATGCAGCTGGCGTATACCAATAAACACCGACCATACCGGGTAGCATACATAGTGTACACGCGTTCAGCTGTTAGTAAATTTGATTTGCAGACTTGAAAAGCAAACCAGCCAGCAAGTTAGCAACCCATTGCGGTGGCTAACGCAACGTTAGCTCAAGGCTCATGTTTGCAGAATTACATTCAGGGGGGGAAGCTGCTATCCTCACCTTTCGTCTTAGCTAGCTGAGAGTTTATGTTATGTTGTGTGAGCAAATCGTCTTTGTGTTTGAGCTGCATTCTGTTATTTTGAACTTTTGACATGTTGATGTGCTTAAACTTAGGAATACTCAGAGGACAGTAATTCAGAGCCCAATGTGGACCTGGAGAACCAGTACTACAACTCCAAAGCCTTGAAGGAGGATGATCCCAAAGCAGCACTCAGCAGTTTCCAGAAGGTGGAGTGGTACTCCATAAAAATCAAATCTTTTACGTAGCTCTCTGCTTATCTGGGGTATTTTATTTAAAAGCACAATTCTTACCGACACCTCCCTTGGTTTTTATTGTGTGTTCAGGTATTGGAACTAGAAGGAGAGAAAGGAGAGTGGGGATTCAAAGCACTGAAACAGATGATCAAAATCAACTTCAAGCTGGTATGTGCCGTTACATGTGCCATCATTTATTTATCTCTCTCCCTCCATACATGAGGTATTGAGTTATTTTTTTGTTTGTTTGTTTGTCAACCCTGTAGACCAACTTTCCAGAGATGATGAACAGGTACAAGCAGCTCCTCACGTACATCAGAAGTGCCGTCACCAGGAACTACTCGGAGAAGTCCATCAACTCCATTCTGGACTATATCTCTACCTCCAAACAGGTATGGATAGACAATGCTGTAAGTTACATTTGTTACGTCCTTAAAATTTGCAGCACCAGGTGTCTTCAATCTGTGTCTCTCTGAAATGTGTTTTTTGTGATACTAGATGGACTTGCTACAGGAGTTCTACGAAACCACATTGGAGGCTTTGAAAGATGCAAAAAATGACAGACTGTGGTTTAAAACTAACACAAAGGTATACAAAGGTTCTTCACTGGTTCCAGGTAGTCCTGCATAATCATTTATTTGTACAACATGTGCTCATAAATGCTCTTTTTGCAGTTAGGGAAGCTGTACTTGGAGAGAGAAGAATATGGGAAACTGCAAAAGATCCTAAGGCAACTTCACCAGTCATGTCAGGTAATTAGGTCAATTTTTACTGATCATTTTTTACTGTCTATGCAATACTAAGTCTCTAAGATCTCAATCTATATATATCTATATCTATATATATATATATATATATATATAGGTTGATTTGACAGCAGTTGTTCTATTTTTCCATGAACTACAGACGGATGATGGAGAGGATGACCTGAAGAAAGGCACACAGCTGTTGGAGATCTATGCTCTGGAGATCCAGATGTACACGGCACAGAAAAACAACAAGAAATTGAAAGCCTTGTATGAGCAGTCACTTCATATTAAATCTGCCATTCCTCACCCACTCATAATGGGAGTTATCAGAGGTATGATGGTGTACATATCTACTTCATTCATAGAACAGTGGGACTGTCACACTATGATCTGTCATAGCTGTTTGCTAAATGACCTGTGCTTGTTTTCTCCTGACCAGAGTGTGGTGGGAAGATGCATTTGAGAGAGGGTGAGTTTGAGAAAGCTCACACAGACTTCTTTGAGGCCTTTAAAAACTATGATGAGTCTGGAAGCCCAAGAAGGACAACATGCCTGAAGTACCTGGTCCTAGCCAACATGCTGATGAAGTCAGGAATAAACCCCTTTGACTCTCAAGAGGTATGAAAGTAATTGTTACAGTTTGAAATGTTTTCTTTTAATAGTCATGCACAATACGGTTTGCAAGAATATGAAACATCAGAAAACACAGACTATTGGTTGCCACCTACGTTTGTGCAGTTTTAGTTTCCTTTTTGACAAAGCACAACTAGACTGTCTCTAATCAGAATGATCTGTTGAAAGTATTTCATTCATATATTTTTTTGTTCTTAATCAGTTAACATTTATTTAGGTTTTAGTACCACAACAACATTTCTTTTTTCTTTTTCCCCAAAGGCCAAACCATACAAAAATGACCCGGAGATTCTAGCAATGACAAACTTAGTAAGGTAAGCATGCATTAATGTATTATTTGGATTTCCCCTTCCCTTTGTTTAGAACAAAAGTCTGTTTATGCTGCCATGGCACAAAAGTCTATTGTAGTGTTTGCTATTACTCCCATCTCTTATAACATTTTGCCCACCAATTTTATTCTAAGATCTAAACCGTCTTGTCAGCCACAGTTTTACTAAGAACAGAACTGAAAGAATAGTGGGACCAGCCTGGTATTGACAGCTGTTTATAACATATCATTTGGGTAGTGACTCTGGGGTTCTCTTTTTATTTTCAAATTATAGGCTTAGATAAAATGGTTGAACTGTGGACATTATTGTGGGATCTCTGAGAACAACTTTTTAAAGAGTAGAAGGAGAGATGTCATCAGCTACGATTGCTACCAGTCCCTGACATATCATTTTATTAATTAATTCTCCAGAATCCCACCTTTTATTCTTAGTGACCACCATGCCCTCCTCCGACTGAGCATGGTGCACTTGCATGTGCTTTGTGCCCTGCGTCTTCAAGTCACAACAAAGTTAGTTAGAAAAATTTTATTTATGACCTCAAACTTTAAAAAGAACTGCAACCTTCTCTTGGACCCAGATGCCTTTACTGTCTGGCCTTTGGTCAGTATTCCAGCTGCAGTATGTTCACGTCTTTCAATGGACGCCTTGCATCACTTCCCCTTAGTACAAAATCATACATTAAACACATTAATGGTATTAATATCAGTTATACCAGTTACCCAAACAATACCCTGTCAACATTAGTGTACATTTCACAGTATTTGTATAAAGTATTGAATATGACTATTGTCTTCCCCAAGCCTTTAGTTGTCTTCTGTTTCCTTGTTTGCTCCCTTTTGTCCTCATGTTTACATAAATAACAGGCACTGTCTCAGATTGCTCAGGTTCCATGCATATATTTAAAATTGATTTTGTACAAACAAGAAACTAAGAACGCACACCCAAAACTGTAATAAGAATAGTGTTTACAGAAAGTCTAATATTTTGGAATGTGTTTGACAGCTATCAGGATGAGAGTTTTTCTGTGGGTCACAGAGACACAATGTATATAGTAAAACAACACTGCCTTGTTTTCCCTTCCAGCGCCTACCAGAACAATGACATCACTGAATTTGAGAAAATCTTGAAAACAAATCACAGTAACATAATGGACGACCCCTTCATTAGAGAGCACATAGAGGGTGAGTGGCGAACGTGACTTCAGTCCACATACATGATAAATGTGTTGGGGAAAACTTTGTCTTGTTTGAAAGCGTAGCTGATTGTGTGACGTTGTGTTGCAGAGCTCCTGAGGAACATTAGAACTCAAGTACTTATCAAACTCATCAAACCGTACACGAGAATACACATCCCTTTCATTTCTAAGGTAAGTTTCCCGTGATTTAAAAAAAAAAAAAAAAAAAAGTCATGTATGTGTGACTTTGTGTGGATCGTTACTTCCATTGTAATTGGTCTGTATTGAAAGGCAATCAGTCATATCAATGAAGAAAAAGGTATAATTGGGGAGAAAAAGCACAGAACTAATGCAGGTTAGAAGTAGAAGCATACTCTTATTGACACATATTATATAAATAAGTGAAATTTAGTTTGCATTTCATGATTTAGTTTGTCTCATAGATGGTATCTGTTAATGCTTTTTCATCTCTTATTAGTTTACATACTTTTGCAACACACCTAACACAATGAGATCTGCACTGCATCTTTTTTAATGTTAAATGACACTAGCTGCCATACTTGTGTACAGATGTTATGATCTTTTCTGTTTCCCTTGGTTTTCAGGAGCTGAACATCGATGTGTGTGATGTGGAGAGTTTGCTGGTGCAGTGCATCTTGGATAAGTAAGTGTGTCCGTCATGTGTCTAATGAGAAACTGAAGAAGGAAAAAAATACCCGCCTTCCTGTAAATGTTAGTAGTTCCTCATAGTTTGCATCCTTTGGCCCTAAAGACAGTCAGGCAGTATGAATTCAGTTTCAGTTACATCTTTAACCTAATCGATTGTCATGTAATAATGAGCTGCTATTTCCGGCTTCAAATCCCGTCTTTACTGGTTTTCTGACGTAAACGACTTGTGAAAACACCAGATGAGCCTGGTGTTACCCTCTGTAAACTGTAGAGTAAAATGTTAAAACTAATAACGCATATATATTGTTTTTATTGTCATCATGCACTGAAATGTTAAAGGCATTGTTTTTGTAATTAATGCTACTCATTTAAAATGATAGGCAATAGATGAAAAACATAAATGTAGGTTGTTTTTCTTAAATGCATGGTGGCATCTTCAAGATTATCTGGGGATTTTTATTACTTTGCATCCTCAAGAAATTGCTCTAAAGAATTGTTTAGTTTTTTTAATGCTACAATACAATTAACAGATACACAGTTTAACTGCAGGAAGACTCTAGGAATTTAATTGGCATTTCAAAGCTTGACTAAATTATAAATTGGACTGTCTTTTACATGCTGACTTGTGATGTTCCCGATATGAGTTATTTTATATTTTAACATGTGGCTTCTCTCTTCTTTTCTAACTCTCTTTGTGTGTGTGTGTGTCTGTGTGTGTCTGTGTGTGTCTGTGTGTGTCTGTGTGTGTCTGTGTGTGTCTGTGTGTGTCTGTGTGTGTGTGTTTCTTTCTCTCAGCACAATCCACGGCCGAATTGACCAAGTCAACCAGCTACTAGAACTGGACTACCAGAAGAGAGGAGGAGCTCGCTACACAGCTTTAGACAAATGGACAAATCAGCTGAACACACTCAACCAAGCCATTGTTAGCAAACTCACATGATGGCATGTAAAATCAAGAGACAAAGGAAAAATGGCATGTTTTAATACATCCATAAAGTATGCTACTGTGCTTCTTCAAGTATATCCTCTGAGACAAGATACACAGCACAGGTTTTTGAGAATGCCACCAATTTCAAGAAGACTCAAGGAACCCCCGAGAACGTGTTCAAAGTGTGTTGTTTTGTGGTGATGAGAGGAAATCCACTGACACTTATTTTTGTTTTTCATGTTTCCCCCCCCCCATTGGCCGATCCTTCCATGTGCAACACACAAAAATGCTTCAGTTGTTTGAAAAAAAAAAAAAGGAAAAAAAAAAACAGAAGTTCAAAATGTGTATGAAAAACTTGTACACAGTATTTTAATGTATACTGTTGCCTGTTGGTAATAAACAGATTTCTCTCAGCACTAAAAAAAAAAAAAAAAAAAGGATTCAGCTGCCTTTGACTAGCCACAAAGTTTTAACAGTGTCACGGGCTAAACGTCGAATAAAATGTTTTCAACTGTCATAAATGAAACAAAGAAATCTCTCTTTTTTTTGTTTGGTTTTTTTGAATCCCTCTTTGACTACATACTTAAATAAATAAATATATAAATATATATATACACTAACAAAAAGTTAGGGATATTCCACTTGTGGGTGAAATTTATGGAAAATGTAAGAAGATGATGCTACAGTGATATTACATCATGAAAGTCGGGCATTTAAGTAGAAGGTCAAATTAAGATCACCTGGAAAAGTTATAATGCATTTTATGTACATTCTCAAATTTCCTCCAAAAGCCGAATAAACCCAAAGTTTTCCCGAGCAGCGTACATCTACTCATGACGTAGCGTAGCGCGTTTTCACCCGGAGAGTTGCAGCTTTTTGGGCCTCGACGGCTTCCCTTCCAGGTGACTCCCATTTGCACTGGTGTTGACAGCAGCAGCTCTCTCTCTCTCTCTCAGTGGAGCGACGAGCTGCTGGTGTGCACAGCGCAGCCAGCTGACGCAGCAGCATCTAGCAACAGTTAGCGGTCAGTAGGAGCTGGGTGTGAGTCTCTCTCTCTCTATATATATATTTATATTTATATTTATTTATATATCTCTCTATCTTAAACCTTTTTTAAACTGATTAGTATTTACAATGAAGAAATTAAAAGGGCCCACATCCTGACGTCCGCATTGTGGCCAATGACGGGTCTGTCGCGGCGTTGACGACTGACATGGACGCTAGTGACAATAAGGTACAGTTTTATTTTATAATTATGTTTTCAGTAGGTAGTTTGGAGGAAGAGGAGGAGGAAGAGGAGGAGTGTGTGGTGGGGAGGCTTCTTGCTAAAGCTTTAGCCTGTTTGGAGACTCATCGTATCGTTTGTTGTAATGAGGCCCCAAAAAGCTGTTCCGCTGGTGCGAGTAGAAACATTAGAGTTGCTCGGTGGAGACTTACAGGAGTTATTTATGTCGCTGACCGAAGTAAAGGCTCTAAACGATGAAAGGTGTTTTTATCAATGGTGTCCCCGTTTGGCTAGTAAGCTAACGTTAAACCAGCTAACGGTAACCGCATTTAATAACAAAAGATAACGGATGTGTGTTGTCGTCTCTCGCAACGTGTGTGTGTGTGTGTGTGTTGTGTATTTCACTAAAACCACGTTAATTTATTTCCATGACAATGTTTCCTTCATGAGAGACTTTTTTTTTTTCTTTACAAAAGGCGTTGTGTGTTAAAGTGTTAGCATGGCTAGCTGGCTACAGCTACGTAAGCTCAGCTGTCATCTGACGACGCTTCTCGTTTTGATCAGAGCGACAGATTACAGCTTTTATGTGTGTTTTTTTTCTTTCTCTTTTAAAATGTATTGCTTAGTCATGCCGTGGAGACGCAGGGTTGATTTTAAAAGGTGTCAGTCAGGTAAGTTAGGAATGTGTGCATGAGATGGTTGTTGTTGTCGGGAGAGGCGGAGAGGTTTCGTGGATAGTCAACAGAGGAATGTCTGGTTCTTCTGCATGTATGGCATTCCTGACGCTGCTTGCAATGCAGAAAGTTAACTTTGGTTGGGTTTGGTGTCCCAAGGCGTATTGCCAGTGCCCCGTTAGCTTTGCACATTGAACGATGGTGTTTTCTGGCTGAAAACATGAGGAGAGGGGGGGGTTTCCTGCCTTAGCTGCTTCTGAATATGTGTGGTGATACTCCTCAGTTCTGCCCCCCTTTACTCCTTAATTTGAAAACCTCTTTAAAAGGTTTAATATGGTCATGCTTGACTACACAGCCCACCCAGTGGTGTAGTGAGGCGGGGGTATACTCATACTAATACATACTAATTTATGCCCCTAACAATAGCTACAGAAGAGGTGCATAGTTTTGTAATCAATACTGGCACACAGACTATAGGGTGAGACATCTACGTGATTATGCATTTTGAGTATTGAACTACTGATTGATGCACATCAGAGGGGTTTTAGATGTATGTAGATATATGTTTAGATGTGTCCATATACCTGCGTATACCCTGCACTACACCGCAGAGCCCACCTTGCATTCAGTACAGAAACGGATACCATCGGATAGTGTTTGAAAGCAACTGCTGTGAGAGTAAGTGCTTACACAAACGGGGGCTTGTGAGATCAGTAGCCCCCAGTCTAATCACTCTGAGATCTGTCATCCCCAATGAATGCACATCTGGGTCTGACCTCATTGCCTTTTTCACAATCACAGCTATTCTCACTCACCCTCTCACTGACACACAGATACACAACGACACACAAAGACGCACATGGTTGAATCAAGAGATGGATCCGCTGACCAGCTCTGCTTTTTTTTTTTTTTTTTTTTTTTTTAATATATAGTTGGACTTCTACACTGCTGTTAAGAATTCAAGATTCTCCGTCAGTGCACATGAGGCCTCCATGCTATGGCTTGCTTTATAATTAGCTTATCCTGTAGTACTGTCCCTAATTTATCCTCTCAAACTTAATCCTATAACAACACCCTATCAGCTATACTGTACCATCGTACAGGGTCAGACCAACTACTGTAGATCTCAACCTCTGCAGACATATCAGTCTGGCCATGGAGGCTGGTATTACTCCCTGGGGGGCTTGTAAAAATCTTTCTTTATCAGCTTGGTCTTTACTGAATTGGCATAACATGCTCCATTCAACATGACTCTGTTTATATAGGTTGGGATCTATAGATTACCTAAGGAAAAGTGAGAGAAGCGCATGCAGACAGTAGCAGTGGGAGACAATAGCTGTCTGTGTGACATCCACTGGCTGCACTGATGCTCTATTCATGCATCCCGACCACTGTTTCAGAGAAGAGAGGGGGAGTCTTTGTACTCTGAACCCTGTCACCTCTCCTCATCCTTTGCAAAATAGCTGATTATTTTTGATAGGACCTCTTGGACAGAGCTGACACCTTGGGTTAGACCAGTGCCACCATGATGTGAAAGGAGCAGCACTGAGAGGTGTGAAAGATGCTCCCAGAAAGCAATGGAAAAAGACAGTGAAGAAGGACAGAACAAGAGGGACAGTTGTTATTTTATCAGTTACAATTTTATTTTTTTGCCTTTTAATTTAAGGATATACATAGGCCTGCCTGTTAGTTGCTGTCATCACTGAGCATATCCTACCCATTTGGTTGTGTCTCCGTTTTCTACAGAACGATATTCTGGAATGGCTGAGTGAGCCCGGAAGTACTTTAGTGTTTCTCCCCCAAGCCTGCCTTCCAGTGCCCCAGACCTATAATCTTTGGCCTTTCTGTGGCCTGCTGTATCATTTGCTACAGCCTGGCTGTTGACTATGTGTCAGGGCCATAAATCTGGGGACCCATAAAATCAGACTGAGTCAGAAGAGTGCAATAGTGTGCCTTTGCCGGCTGTAAATATGTCAGTCTTTTGACAGAATAGTTTTATTGGTTAATTTATATAATTTGAATTGTATGTATATCTTGTTGTAAGTTAAAAACAGTAAATTGACCTTTTGCCTGAGTGCACCAACGCATATGTTACCTGAAATGTAATCCAAAAGTGATACTTTGGGGTATTTTTTTCTGGTTTTCTGTCATTCCTTTCTGGTTGGAACTAGTTGGAAAGAAAAAAATGTTAATTTAGTCCTCAATTTGGTAAAAATAACCTACAGTATATGTCTCACAACAAGGGTGAGTCTGGTGTATTTCCCTTGGTGCTGTCACAGGCTTTGAGGGGGTTGAACAACTTAAGGCCTCAAACAATGACACATTAAATGTATGTCAACAATTATCTGTTTATATTTTCGTTTATTGTCTATTTTGAGTGTTGTTTTTAGCAATAGCTTTGCAGATGATAGTCATTATAAAATTAAATATTTCCCTCGCTCCCTCGAACTCCTTTTGGCTTTGAGGTACAGAGACTCACGTCATTGTAGACCATATTAATAAGAAGAAAGAATTGTTTATATTCTTCACCTCTGTTTATCCAGCTGTAGAATTGTTAGTCACAAGAGAAATCTATTATCAAATTTTCTTTTAATATGTTGCATACTTTCCTTAGATACTGTGGCAGTTGTGTGTTATGTCATTGTTAAACTCAAGAAGGTTTTATCTCCTTGTGTAAGGCCTGACACCCTTTTTATTGATGGCTGTAGGCACTCAAGACTGTAAACCAAATGGAAAACTGTGAGGAAATGTTTTGCTCAACTTTGATTACCACAAAATAAATGAGGTTAGTCAGTCTGCTGGTGCATATCGGTCTCTCTATCAGACACTTTGTACTCAAGTTAACAATTTTAAATTCCTGGACATATCTTCTCATACAGTAGAAGTTTTTACAATGTTCTGAGAGTTGATGTTAGCAGGCTGTGTCTTTAGCCTTACATATTTTAATCCCTAGAGAGATATTTTAACAAACTACACAAACCTACCGAAATAATTAAGTCCAATTATGGAGGAACGTTTGTGGGTTTTCATGACTTTGTTGATATGGATTGTTGCTTCCACCCTACAACTATCCCATTTTATAGGTGTGGGATGGCAATAACAATAAAAAATAAATAAAAATGATTTGTTGATAAAGAAAAGGCAATCAGTGAGCTTGATGAAGGACAAGCAGATAATGTGATGACTAACTTGAGTGACTTTATTTCAGCAATTTGAGAAATAGGTCTCTACTCTTAGACGTATACCTTTTTCTCACTCGTGCATCATGTAGTCATTAATTGGCTGCTGTTGTACACAGTGTGACAGTAATGGCTGTCCATATGTCTTTGTGCAGGATGTGAAGCTTTCAGCAGAAGTGGAACCGTTCATCCCACAGAAGAAAGGTCTCGAAGGATCCTTAGTCAGCATGAGTCTTTCTGGCGAGGCAGGCGGCGGAGGAGGAGGAGGGGGTGGTGGGGTGGAAACCACTCCCATACCCAGCTACCTCATCACCTGCTACCCTTTCGTCCAAGAGAACCAACCCAACAGGTACTGTTACTCTCACAGCAGGGGGGCGGGGGGGATTGGGAATGAGTGAAACTCAAAAGGCAGTTCCTCCAATCCCGTTTAACTCTGAGCTAATGGCACCAGTGTTTCTGGTTCTTGCTGATTATAGATTTCCCAAAGCTGTTAACTTTGGAAGAAATATTGCCATTCCTTGTGGCATTGTGGGAAGTCTGGTGTCCCCATTTTGAACCACTCAAGAACAATCCACTCTCTTCTGGACCTTTTCTATTTTCAGAATAATTCATTTACTGTACTGTTTGCTATAATAAGAAGAAAATAACAGCCTGTCCCTAATGTTGTGCGATCACAATCAGCTCCTTTAAACAGTATACTGGGTTAGAGTCATTAGATGCTCTGTAGTTTTAGACTGCTTAATTATGAATGGAAACCTCCCCAGAGTTACAGTCCAGAGAACCACAATCTGTTTCCAGTGGCTCTTTCTTTGTCCAAAGTGATATGCTGTATCCTGCACACATCCGTTCCTTTGTTTCCTTCCCCCATATTTGAATGCAAGGAAATGCTCGCTATAGTAGGCTGGCTGTGAAAATGTCATCTGGATCCTTATCAACATTTCTGCATACCATGTACACACCCCCTGACAAACCAACCGTCATGCACATCACCGTGGCAGTACAGATGTTAACCCGGACATCACCCCTCTCTGGAACCCCACTCGTGCTAAGGCGCTTTAATCTTATTTTGTATAACCCATTTTAATCAGTCTTCCTAACATCACTGCATGTTTAGAGAAAATACAAACTGAGAAATGTTTTAAATAAGGGAAACAAAGTCCAAAACCCTTAATAAAGTGCTGTGTGATTAATTCAGGATGGCACAGTCAGTTTCTTTCAACTGAGAATGTGAGTTTCTTAACATTGAATATTTGCCAATATAGAATTTTATATTTATTTTTAATCTCTTTCTTTCCCACACAAAACAGGTGCACAGTGCACACTTAACCAAAAGTTGACCTACATTAAAATAACATTTTACAACTAAATATCTTAGTATTAAGACAATATAAGCTGCAGCACAGCCTTCCTTTTATGGATTCATATAACGAAGAACAATACACGTAAAGAAATAATTAAAAATTAAAATCCAGAATGGCTCAAAAGGCATTCAAAAGTATCGGCTGAAAAGAATCAGTGATTTTGAGTAGAATATCAGAAATAATTTAACATGTTACTTCTCTACTGCTTCACAGGCAACATCCTATGTATAATGGAGGGGAGCTGCGCTGGCAGCAGCCTAACCCTAGCCCTGGTGGTTCATACCTGGCCTACCCCATCTTGTCGTCCCCCCAGCCTCCTGTCTCCAATGACTATGCTTACTACCAGATTATGCCTGCTCCGTGCCCACCTGTGATGGGCTTCTACCAGCCCTTCCCTGGCACTTATGCAGGTCCTGTGCAAGCTGGAGTGGTCAACCCTGTCTCAGCAGATGTCAGTGAAAGACCACTGCCTCTGGGGCCAGCATATGGTATGGCCAGTCAGAGGGGGAGAGGCATGGTCCGACCTAACATTCTCCCAAAGGTACAGATGGTCAACAGCTTCATTGTGATATTATCACATTGACGTCATATGTTATTTGTATCACTAAAAAGTTTCCCTCCTTATCGTCAGTCTTTAGTGAGCTTGCTCTGCCTCTTTATCTTTCTCCTTCAGCAACAGTTGGGTGTCTGCCAGCCTCCAAGGGGCCGCCGGCCTCCAACCAGGAGTGTAGCTGTGCAGAAGGAGGTATGCACCTTGGGGCCTGATGGTAGGACCAAGACAGTCATGCTGGTGGATGCAGCACAGCAAACCGGTAAGAATACTGCAGCAATAATTATGTTAAATGGACTGTACTTGTATATTGCCTTTCTAGTCTTCCGACCACTCAAATCGCTTTAACGCTACATGCTACAGTCACCCATTCATACACTGATGGCAAAGGCCATCACAAACAGAAACTAACTCAGTCACTCACATTCATACACCAATGCACAGCATCAAGAGCAATTTGGGGTTCAGTATCTTGCTCAAGGACACTTTGACATGGGATGAGCCGGGGATTGAACCAGCAACCTTCTGATTAGTGGACGACGCGCTCATGAGCGGCTGTGACACTGTATTAAAGATAGAGTTCCCATGCAACAATTTAAAAACTATAAAACAAAAAGTGCCAAATAAATATGTGAAGCTGTAGGAGTGGAACAATTCTTAGTCATATCCAGACAAATGTAAGGCCAACGTCAGTGATCTTCTTCAACCCTGCGGCTGAAAGAACCCGAGGCCCAATACATTCCAGACTTTGTTTAAAGTAAGCTGCTTTGCCTGTGAGCAAAAATAGTTCCTTTCAGTGAGGAAGCAGGACACAATGCCAGTAAGAGCAGTGTCTGGTCTTACAGGTTGATGTTGATGATGCTTGTACTCAACTTCTTAAAGAACTGGAATGCAGAGTTACCAGTTGGAGAGGTTAACATGTGTGCAGCTCATTATGTCATCAATGATGTCTCTGTTCCCAAAAAAGCTAATGACCCTGTGTAAATAGTTTGGCTGCTCAGTTGTTGTTTTGATGCCTCACGAAAAACGTCATAGAGTTAGGTCAAAGTAAACTTGGTCCAAGTTTTTGTTCATAAGTCTCTATTGATTCATTTACAGTATTTATAGTCCTTCTTCCTCCTCGTGTTTTATTGATGGTAGCAGTTTCATTCTACTATGTAACAAGTTCATTTCAGGTCTGAGTTTTCCTCCTTTGTGCTCAGATTTCCCAGGTGAGGTGTCAGGGCGTAGTGCTGCTGAGCGGGCTAGTCCCCTGCTGTGGAAGAACCGAACAAAGAGAAGACGGGCGTCCCATCCAGGTGAAATCTACAACGAGCAGGGTGCTAGTGAAGCAGATATAGACAGTGACAGTGGTTACTGTAGCCCCAAACACAACCAGGCAGCAGGGACACAACGAACAGCAGAGAATGCAGCAGCACCCACAGTAAGTCAGCAACTTGCCATCACCTCCAGACCCAACAGACTTACAGTAAACTGAAGATATGTTTTTACCTCATAATTGGTAAATTGATAGTGCTTCAGAACAATACTTCCTTAATTCCTGATTTGATAGGCACTGTCTAGAAAGAAGTTTAAAACTCATAGTACACATGGGAAACAAAATAAAGATAGCTATGCAGATAGAAAGTCAGGAAGAAGGAAGTTGATTGTTCTTAAAGGTCCAGTGTGTAGTATTTAGTGGCATCGGCTCATCTTCCCCTTCTTAGCGTGTAGGAGAAACTATGGCAAATGACAAACAACGCAAAAGGTCCTATCTGTAGTCGGTGTGTTCTTAGGTAACCAAAACACAACAATTCTTATTTTCAAGTAATTATACATGAATGAAAACACATTTATAAATATTATATCTTGTTTCTACCATATTCTGCAAATAGATCCCCCTAAATCTTACAAGTAATAGTAAGTTACGTAAATTGAATTTTCTTTGCCTACTCAAAGCTGAATACCTCTCCAAAAAAGTCATTTAAATAAATTGATTGACAGGGTACTATGTTATTGATCATTAAGGATAAGATAGGATTTATTTGATTTTGACAATTTATTTGGTTGAGCTGATTATCTATTATTAATACACAGTCTGGGAGTAACAGCTGACTAATCAGATGAATTTGTGAGAAAAAGTCCCAGAAATATTAACGTTCTTTAACTTTGCAAAACTATTACATGCATTTTGCATTCTGCATCAACTGCATATCAAGTCTACAAGCTGAAGAAATGAAGCATTTACTGCAATGCATAAAGTTTATTTTTTTCATTGTTTGGAGGTAGGTAGGAAATGATGACTGAAATGTGTCAGTAGCTGTATCTGAATTTTAAAAACTAAATTGCAGGCTGAAAGTGGATGTCACACAAAAGCATATATGTTCATTGCATTGGTTGAGTACAGTTTGAATCACACTCATTAGCATATTTAACATAGATAGCTCAACTTGTCTTTTTTTCTCTACTCTTTCCACATTTCCTGTGTTATATAGGGAGTAGAGGCTGGTGTAATGACAGGTAAGTCAGATTCACATCTTCACAGCATGCTTTTATATAGCGATATTTCTTATGCATCATTCATATAACATATTACAAATGAATGGAAATTTAGTGTAAATTGTTCTTGTTCTCTAGCAGGTACCTGGGTAAATGTAGCCTCACAGGCTACCCCGAAGTCCTGGGGAGACAGGAATGGCCAGTTTCACAGAGCAGACCAGAGGAAGAATCCTGAACAGAGAAACTTCTCACAGGTACAGTAGATCCCATTGCAGCATACACTAAAGTAAAAAGGCTGCTATTTGTCAGGCAAACAACTCTGGTATTAAGTAATGCGAATAGGTAAAAGGCAATTACTTTTGACGTAAAGGCTTCAGACTCTAAGTCGCAGCAAAGCTTACTGAGCAGCAGATGAGGAGGGATCAATGTTGGTAAATCTCCATTCTGTCGAGAACAGAGACCACATGCACTTAGAAAACAAATAAGCAGCAGTAGTAATAGTAGTTACAACTGAAGACAGTGATATCAACAGAAGGAATAGCCAGGAAAGCACAGGAGTTAAGACAGTTGGTGTCAACATTTTCTTAAGAAAATGTTAAGTAATATTAACATGCCTAAAAATTGGCATGGCTTAAATTAAGGATGCTAATTCATGTAATTGCTATTTGATAACACACCTGACACACATTTAACATATATGTGGTATTCCAACACATGAAACATTAACATACTGTTGGCATTTAAAAGTAGAACTCCTCAAAAGTGTTAAACCTTTTATGTGTTGTGGACATCCAGTTGCACTCCTAAATTTGAGCAGAGCACTGTGAAAACTCATTTCATCTTTCACATAACGCACATAAGTAGAGTCTGTCACACATAGTCAATAAACAAACTAAAGAGCCATTTACAGGGGTGTATATGTGAATCAAACAACTTGTGCTTTTTACAAGCATTGGTATGTTCCCTCTAGCCTTTTTTCACACCTTGTTTCCTTCGCTTACCAGTACGTGCACAAAAACACAATACCTTACAGTACTGTGTTTTTGTACACACTTACAAATACCAGCACTAACCTGTCTGACTCCTGTATTCTCTGTGTGTCTTTCTGCCTTTCAGGATTTCCATAGTGGCTATCCAGGGCGTGTGCCACCCAACCAGACAGAACAAAGGCTACAGGCAGCAGTGGTCACTGGCACTGAGCTCACCCCAGAGCCCCTCTACTTTGAGGTGAGAGTGTGTTTGGGGAATTTCATTGTAATAAATTCTCACTGCAGCATTGTCACCATCACACACGCTTAATTTTAGGCAGAGTTTATTTGTTGTGCTGACATATTTTCAACATGTTTGTCAGGATGAAGATGAGTTCCCGGATCTGGCTACTGGAGGGGCTGCCCAACGCAGCACCAAACCAGAATCTACTCCAGCCCAGACACACACGCAACCTAAACTGCCTAAAAACCTGGTAAGCGAAGGCACTTTCTGAAAAAGACTTTGAATGCTCACTGTATCATGTGCTGACTGTTTGCAGTCTTAACTAAATACTAGGGGTGTGTATCTCTTTCTCAGATGATTTGAAATGTATCTAGATACATGGTTCACCATCTTATACAAAAATGATGAATATAAATTTGCAACGATGCAATACACTGTAATTTAAAGCTGATTCAAATGGATAAGTGTGACTAATTGCTAAAAACATAGTAATTTCCTGAATTTTTATTTATATACTAACAGAAATCTCCCAGATAATTATAATCTGCTACAGTAACGGCAGTAAATACTCACATCACTAAACAGGTTGAATTTTTCACTAAAACGCTGCTGACAGTACCCAGATCAGTGTCATCCCTCCTAAATATTTTTTTAATAACACTGTATGGGTGCAACTCCTCGTAAATAAAACCTCACATAGCTTCAGTAACATTTTTGCCTTAAGCTTTGAGGAGCTTAGAAGTAGCATTAGCTGCATTACTCGTCTTGTGTTGACTAATCCTCTCTGTAACTTTACTGTCAGCATGCATACCATCTTCTTAAATTAGTTGCAAGGTGTGTGTGCTTGTTCCCAGCATATTTTATGATACCACGGCACATTTTGAAGACTGCAAATGCAATGGCAGATTTTTGTACATGCTGATAGCTACATTTTATTCAGTGTGTGAATGTTATGGATGTTTGAAGTTGGTATTTCATTGGGAAACATTGTGAGCCAGTAGGAAAAGCATAAATAGGATGCACCACCTCTCATACACAGGTTAGAGGCACAGAAGGGCAGAGAAATATTTGGAAAGATGTTTTTTTTGACAGCTGTAATGATTTATGTATTTAATGTACTGTGTATAATTTATCTATGCAGTCCAATCTCTGACTCTTGTATCAGGTAATCTTCACCCCCCTACTAAATATTTACTTGTGTCTCTACATGTATCACAGCTGGATAATCTACCAGAAAACTCGCCTATCAACATTGTGCAAACACCCATCCCCATTACGACCTCTGTTCCCAAGAGGGCCAAGAGCCAGAGGAAGAAGGCTCTGGCTGCTGCCTTGGCCACTGCACAGGAGTACTCTGAAATCAGCATGGAACAAAAGAAATTACAGGTATGAACCTGCACTGTGTCTGCTGGTCATTTCACACTGGACAGTTTGAATTTTAGGCTTGTTGAAGTGTTCCTTTCATAAATTCCTCACCACTGCCTGGTCATGAGTACCATTCTGATCTTATTGTATGTATCTAATGTATTTGACTGGTACTTTAGTATGACCTTGTTCTGCCTTTTCTCTCTCCGCCCGGTAGGAGGCATTCACCAAAGCAGCCGGGAAGAAGAGTAAAACCTCTGTTGAGCTGGACCTTGGAGATATGCTGGCAGCCTTGGAGAAACAACAGCAGGCTATGAAGGCCAGACAGCTCACCAATACCAAGCCACTGTCTTTCACAGGTATTCATTAACTCTATCAAACAAGTGGTATAGAAATTAAAGGAACACCTTACAACAGCCCTGCAATGTTAGTGATTGTCTACTTGTTGCCAGTGTTCTTGCTTCGAATGTAGGACTTTCTCAGTGCCCTATTGTGTAGTTTTGCTGTGTTTTAGAGTGGCCAGACCATTACCATTAAGTTGAATCAAAACCTGAGAGTCCCAACCCAAACCAAACCTTATGTACCTAACTGTGCACATACACACACTTATACTAACTTTGCTGTCTTTCTCTCCAGTGGGAACAACTACTCCATTCCATGGTTCCGGCTCAACCAGCGTACCGTCGATGTTGAAGGGTCACCAGCAGCCATATTCAGCCCCACATAATTCCCTGGATTCCACTGCACCACGTATCAAGAGAGGGAAGGAGAGAGAGATCCCCAAAGTGAAACGGCCAACAGCCCTTAAGAAGGTTAATGATTTAAGTTTTAAGTTAATAATTTAGGAGACATGGGACGAAGATTTTATTTAGCCTACATACAAATTGGTAAAAGGACTGGAGATCTTTAAACCTGCAAATCTTTTAAGTGGCTTTCTCCTTGACATTCTGTATTTGTTCTGTCTTTCTGTAGATCATCTTGAAGGAACGTGAAGGGAAGAAAGGAAAGACGAGTATAGAACAAGAGTCTTCAGGCCAGGAGGAGCATGGGGAGGAGTGTTTACATTTTACTGATGATCTTCCACGCGAGCCTGCCTCCCAAGAAGGTGAGTGTAAATGTATTATTATGACATTAAAACAATTCCGTTGTTCCTATTTTTTAAATCCATGATACATTTTCTAATTGTTATTTCTGGTCTGCTGTTTGTACCACAGACAACGGTTTGAGCGTACCCAGTGATGCCTCCCTTTCCCCGGCCAGTCAGAACTCTCCATATAGCATCACCCCAGTATCCCAAGGTTCCCCTGCCAGCTCTGGCATTGGGAGCCCCATGGCCTCAAACGCCATCACCAAGATCCACAGCCGACGTTTCAGAGAGTAAGTGCACACTCTAACCCCACAGAATGTTAGAACGGGGCAGACCTTTTGTAGGAACCCCCGGCATTGGAATATCTCAAATGCACAACGTGGTAACAAAAAAATGGGTCGCAAAGCAAATACTTGTCCCACTCAAAAATCCCAGTGCCTAGGCTGTGAGAAATGTACTCTGGAAGTTATGGGGTGTTTTTAAGGGCGGGTCTGTACAATAAAGAATTGTAGAGTATGGCACAGATGCCTAGCACATTGTCCCTTCTCAGCAAAAATGTATGCCAGTGGTCACAAACACAGCTTTGTCCCTCTGTGTCCTCTGCTGTAGGCCTATTGTCCCAGCCCACCCTTTTCTAACAGATTTTTGCATTTAAAGCATCCAAAGGCCTCTGGAGCCAAGCTCCTCCTCTCAGCTCTGACCTCCGGGACACTTGTTCCTCAGGCCACACTACGTCGACCTTCCGATAGATATTTCATCGAACCACAACACTACTGGGAGTATGCATTAAAGACTGCAAGGCTTATTCTGATTCAGAAAAAAGCCCAGATGGCAACAAAGCGTAACAGCCAAAAAGCAGTCGAAACAAAGTTGTCATGACAAAGAATAAAGCCTTTAGGGCTTCTACAAACAATTATTTTCAACATATACTTGTCTGAAGGTTATTTTTCAGTTAATTGTTTGGTCTGTGAAATGTCAAAAAGGCCCATGATAATTTTCATTTTTTCAATTTTCATTAATCATCAAATTGCTTTTTTTGTTTGACCGACACCCCAAAACCTATTCTTAGCTATTCAATTAACTTTTGCAAAAGACAAAGAAAAAAATCAGATCATCACAATTTAGAGGCTACAACCAGATAATCTTTACCATTTTAGCTTTCAAATTATATTCATTATTAATCAATTAGCAAAGTTGTGTGATTCTTTTTTTTTTGGTCAGTTAACTAATCAATTAATATTGCAGCATTATTTGCAGCAGTTAACATTATTGTGGCTGTCAGTGTTTTTTTGGTAGCCACCTAAAAGGGACAATCTGTAACCTCCATTATTTCTTCTTTTTTCCTTCTGCAGGTACTGTAATCAAGTGCTGAGCAAGGAGATCGATGAGAGCGTGACTCTGCTGTTGCAGGAACTGGTTCGCTTCCAGGAGCGGGTCTACCAGAAGGATCCTACCAAGGCCAAATCCAAACGCCGCCTGGTCATGGGTCTCAGAGAGGTCACCAAGCACATGAAGCTGCATAAAATTAAGTGTGTCATCATCTCTCCCAACTGTGAGAAGATTCAGGCAAAAGGTAAAGCATGTTGCTGTGACATCTCCAGCATCAGTCCTTATGTGATCAGATTGCTCTAGATCTGACCATCGGAGCTATATACATATTTAAAGCGGCTATAATTGATATTTTTATAATAACAATGTATCAGTGACAATGTGAAAGTGGTTGTTTGTCGTGATTAAACTTCAGAGAATTATCACCAGAATCTACAGCTGCCCTCAGCTTTATGGAGCTTGGTAATGAGTTTCAGCATATTGTTTATCTGTGCAGCAGCAACTTGTTTTGGTTCACTGTCACTGCTCTCACTGCGTCGTTTTCTCTGCTACGTGCTCAGCAGCAAGACACAGTTAGCGACAAGCTGCTGAACATTTTCCTCAGGAGTTGGCAGAAATCAAAAACAGTGTCAATATTGGTCTTACATTTGTCAGTTGGCCAAAAGAAACGACTCAACTAATTATGTTCCTCTGTAGCTGCTGGATGTGTAAATGAGCAATTATTTTCTAACAAGTTCACCATATCAACTTAAAAGGTGATGATCTTTTAGCCAGTGTTGTGTGCACAACTTGTTTCCACTGCCCACTCAAGTGGGCACAAGAAATCAGTTATTCTAAAACAGAAAAACTCATTATTACACACACTACACTGCGTACAAACCCAGGAGTCACATAATGATAGAATGCAAGTGTAGCTCCGTTTTAGTTATTCCTAAAACAACAGGTTTTTGCATCCTTGTCATTAGCTGGTATTTTCTGTTCTGTTTGTTCATGTATTTATATTTCTTTGTACATTTGAGTCACTAATTGTTTTCTGTGTTATAGGTGGTCTGGATGAAGCTTTATACAATGTAATTGCCATGGCTAGGGAGCAGGAGATCCCATTTGTGTTTGCCTTGGGCAGAAAAGCTCTAGGACGCTGCGTCAACAAACTAGTGCCTGTTAGTGTGGTTGGCATTTTCAACTATTCTGGAGCCGAGGTAAGGCACTCCCATTCATTTTAATTGTAATACATTGCTGTCATTACTTTATTATCCATCCATCTGATCCCTAAATCCCTCTTCCTCCTTCAGGATCTCTTCAACCGTTTAGTGTCTCTGACAGAAGAGGCTAGGAAGGCCTACAAGGACATGGTGTCGGCTCTGGAGCAAGAGCAGGCTGAGGAGGCTCTGAAAAATGACAAGAAAGTCCCATACCAAATGGGGCATTACCGCAACCACTCTGCTGCTTCTGCTATCTCCTTTTGCTCAATCTTCTCTGAGCCCATCTCAGAGGTCAATGAAAAGGAGTATGGTAAGCTCCCACATTTCTGTCTTTCTGCTTTTTCATCCTTTCTCATAGTTTTTTTTGGCTGGACCGCAGCAAGCAGGCCAAGCAGTACAAACATGATAGTCCGTGACTTACTGAGTTACTAAGTGAGAGTTGGAAATGAAGTATAAAGTAGTGAGTATTTGTTTATGAGATAAGAAAATGGAGCATAACAAATCAATTAATTCCTTCAGAGACCAACTGGAGGAGTATGGTGGAGACTTCAGATTCCCTGGAGCCTGTAGAAGCTGAACCAAGCCGCCCTGCACCTTCTACAGCCACCCAGAGAGACAGTGACGCCCTGACAGCTACCCCCAACGCAACCCCGTCTTGCTCCTCTGCTCCTCAGCCCAGACCAGCGCCTCTGACACAGGGTACCAGTGAGAGAGACGAGGTCCGTGTTGACGACCGGCTGGAGCTTGCCTCTCAGCAGAGCACAGAGACAGGCTCATTGGATGGGAGCTGTAGGGGGCCACTGAACTCCTCCATCACCTCCACCACTTCCACCCTGGTCCCCGGGATGTTGGAGGAGGCGGAGGAGGAGGAGGAAGAGGAGGAGGAGGACTATACTCCTGAGCCTATTTCAGTGGAGGTGCCCACCCTCAGCAGTCGCATTGAATCCTGGGTGTCGAAGACCTTGGAAAACCTGCAGCTGGGAAAGAGCCAGGAAAGTACAGAGGAGGAGGAGGAGGAGGAAGAGGAAGAGGACGAAGAGGATAGAGGACAGAGTGAGGACGAGGAGGACCTCGATTCAGCAGACATCACAGAGACAGTGATTGAGGGAAAAGAGCAATTGGAGGCTAAGAAGGCCGGTTGATGTCACCTCTCTTCCTCTGTACATACACTCATTCCCTCTGTCCTCGGTTGCACACACACATCCCTCTTCACAACAGCCAGCAGTTTATCTCCTTTGTCTCTAACCCCTGACACCAGACATAATCTCAGGTATCCAACCAACTGACCAACACTCACAGACACAGACACACACCATTAACATCACACACAGAAACTGACCAACTTACAAACACACAGGGTCGCAGACCAAAAGACAACTAACACAGTTTGAGGGTTTAGTAATTGACACCAACACACAAAAAAAAAAACACTCATCGTGTAATTTAATAGGATGCCCTCACTTCTTCTTCTGCCCATAACCTGCTACACTTGAATTCAGAGGGAAGTTTTGGATTTTCCTCCTCCGAAGCTGAACTCAATTAGAGTCAGGGACGTTTCTGGGAGCAAGTGATGAGCGCTGAAACAATGTTGAACTGCTGTCTGTAGCTCACAGAGAAGGAAGGTTGGAACCTTTCAGCTCCCATCTTACTTTATACAGAGCTCAGAAAGTTTACCGCTCTGCAAGTATTTCTGTGCTTGTGTGTGTGTGTGTGTGTTTTACAGGCACATAGTTTGCATTTATTTTGCTGTGTTCATTAGCTTTATATTTGTAAAGTGTGTGTGTGTGTGTGTGTGTGTGTGTGTGTGTGTGTGTGTGTGTGTGTGTGTGTGTGTGTGTGTGTGTGTGTGTGTGTGTGTGTGTGTGTGTGTGTGTGTGTGTGTGTGTGTGTGTGTGTGTGTGTGTGTGTGTGTGTGTGTGTGTGTGTGTGTGTATTTCCCACCTGACTGCTCCATGACGGAAGGAGAGACATGCATTTCTTAATTACTCCTTGGTTGGTATTTAGCTTTCCTTACAGAATATTACAGTGTCAGGGGTTCTGTCTTTCTACCAAAACCACTCCCACCCATCAGTCTTCAGAGAGTGTTTTTTTTAATGTTCAAATAATAAGTGGCCCATTCTGTATTCAGATGATTCAAACAACTTAACTTCTAAGAAGCAAAACAAGCTTTGTGTATATAACCTTGTCTATGTGGTTCTACTACAGTATATAATGGTTTGTCATATTGATCTTGCCTCGTGTGAAACTATTTGGGGTTGTTTTCCTCTTGACTGGAATTGTCTTGAGTTCCCAGATGCTGTCTGTGCTTCATAAAAAAAAAAAAAAAGTACTCCTGTTTTGTTCTCTCTGGTGGTGTTTTGCTCCCTGATGGGGAGCCTCAAGCTGTCTCTTACTTGGTAATGACCTAACACCGTATTTTAGAGGCACGTTTATCAAATGTACCATCAACACTGAGATCTTTTTTTAAGTTCTTCCATCCAAGATATTTTGTGTTTCGGTAAATAAGCACGTAAACGCAGAACTTAGTTACTGTCATCGTTTTCACCAGCATTGACTTCCTTTTAAAAAATGCCACTTAAATCAAATTCACCAATAGGACAAGCAGGTGTTTACTGGTATTTATGAAGTTTAAAAATGCCCAAGTTTACAAAAAAACAGACATGGTTGTTTACAGCTGAAAATGAATCCTTGTAGAGCTTTTCTAGATTTTATAGACAGATTTTGTGGGGACTGAGCTGCAATCAGTAGTCTGATGTCAGTTCACCACAGCTGAGAAGCTCCCTCATTGGGCAGAGTCACCACTGGAAGTCAAACATGTCTTCACAAAGTCATGCACATACTAATGATAATCCATTGTAAATACAAGTGTACAAAAGAGATGTTGATTTTGCATTGTATTAAAAAACAAATACAATCGTCCTGTTCTTAAAGCCATTTGATAGTTTTAACATTTAAACAGTTGAAATCCAATTTGATAGTGAATCATAGAGAGATTTCAGCCAGTCGATGCGGTGTGTAAATGCAGTATGTCGGGCTGTATGCAATGTGAAGCCCCGAGATGGGAGATGACAGTGTACTGGATATCATACTTGGAAATTATGAAAGTATTTCTAGTTTGATAAACGTTATGCTGTGTGTAGGCTTTTTGTTGCTATGACTTCCATCAAAGTGTTTGAAGTATGTTAATTGACAACAAGTGTGTTTTTTGCACTATGTAAATACGTACTGGTAAAGGTCTTGTAACTAATGTGAACAAAAAACAAAACTAAAAAACGGTTCAATGAAGTACTTTTTTCAGCGTGTTCCTCATCTTTATATGGATATTTAAGAACATCTCCTTCAGACTGTACATCACTAGCAACATTGTTAGAGGCTGTTTCTCATAATCCTGTTATCACTCTTAACATATATGGACCGATGATTAACATCATTAAAATGTTGTTTATGTAAATCACTTGACTGGTGCCTCATCCTGTATCCACTGTTGTTTCATCAGCATGTACACAATTAGATTGCAGCAGATGGGAAATGAATCTGCAATTAGTTTAATAATCAATTAATAATTTTAGTCACTTTCTAAGCAAAGATGCCAAACATTCTGTGTCCAGATGCTGAAATGTGAGGATTTGATGTTTTTCTGTATTGTATGTGATAGTAAATTGAATATCTTTGGGTTTTGGAGTATTCCTTTAATAGAACAAGCTATTTAAAGGAGTCATGATGGGCTTATTGAAAATGTAAAAGCCATATATATATATATATATATATATATATATTGTACTGCTTTCTAATATTTCATAGACAAAACATTACATTGATTAATCAAGAAAATAGTCTTCAGAATAATAGATATTTAAAGGCCTAGATTGCAGTTTTACTGAATGACCACTAGGAAGGGACAAAGCTCTGCTGTAGCATATGTCATGCACTCAGGCTTGAAGACTTAATTGTCACATCTTGCTTATTTATATACAATCCATAGTTGTCAAGTATCTGTAATGTAATGTATTTGTTTAAAAACAATCCTAAAGTCAGAAATTGTTCTTTCCTTCAAAATGTCTAAAATGTACCCTTTAATCTCAACCCTAAATATGGAAGTACTGCTACTCTCTGCCTGCTTTTTGCTGTTGTTAGATAATAATCTCTAAATCAGGAATAAGTGCAGTATGCAAACTAACTCTTCAGTCGGCGCCTGAAATATTGTTCTGATTGAAATCAAACGGAAATGCAAATGTTTCAGTTAAATCTTCCTCATGTGTTTTCATGCAGGACATTTGAATATCACTATAGAATGTCTTTTTATGGTGTAAATCAAATCAATCTGAGCTAATTCTCCAATTAGTACAGACGTTAAACCCTAGTGGTCTAAAATTAAGAGAAAAATGTAAAATGGAGAAGAACGAAGCTAATACTGTTTTAATAACGCACTTTAACAGCATCTCTGAGGTGCAACTGATGTTACAAGAGAGGAATAGAGCACTCATGTGCTGTATTGGCTCTGCCTCAGTGTGTAAGTGTTAGTGTGTGTGTACAGCATGAGTCACCCTACTCGGCTGTGATTGGATGGTAGTTTATGGGTGAGGGAGGGGGAGAGAGCCTTAGGGGCCGTCTGTCAATCTCTCCTCCGCTCCATTCACACATTCATCTGCATGCACCGTCAGAGAGACAGAGGAAGTGAGCGAGAGCCTCTCATTCATAAAAAAAAAGAAAGTTCATTCATAAAAGCTGCACATTTCTGCTGTGGCTCAGAAAGAGAGGGGAGGAAAGTTGATGTGGAGGTGAAGCAGAAGTGGAAGCCTGGCAACTGACTGAGAAAGTGTATGTGTCAGTAGGACGGGACTGTACTCAGCATGACTAGAGCGGAGCAGACTGGACTTTAGACTCCACAGGACATCCCCAGTCCCACACTGGTGAGTTGAATCTACTGCAATGTACAGTTACAGTGGGAATCCCATCTAATAATCTCTGGACACAGTATGCCAGATGCTAAAATCATTTCACAAATATCAGCTGATTAGCATTTTACCCCAAATCCTCAACTAAATGCATTTAATGGCTCTTGTTATTTCTGCTATCTCTAGTCAAATCTGCTTTATCAAGCCAAACCTCTGTCTGTAATAACTGTGATTGTTCTGGATGATTTTTCTCTTTTTCACTTTGTCCCAGTGCTCTCCTTTGTCCAGTTCCCCGATTATGAGAGAGCGAATCTTACCCAGGTTCAAATCACAGACAGGACACTTACCAGGTAGCTCATCACTTTGTAGTCATTACAAACATAATCAGTACAATGAAAATCACTGTGCTGCATATCTGATTGTAACACTTTCTCTTTCATCCTCTACAGGCATGCTGAAGCGCACCAAATACAGTCGTCTGCGCAACGATTCTCTGACGTCTCTGGAGGATCGGCCCCAAAGAATGCTGCCCCTGAAGAGGGATCTTTGCATAGACTCTGATTTTGCCCAGCTGGATCCCGGGACGCCGACACACCATGGGCCGTCCACCCTGAGGGACTTCATCCCCCGTGTGGCCAACATACGATTGCAAAGTCCTATTTCCCTGCGGGGTCTAAGGGGACAGACAAACACAGCTGAGGACAGAGCCACTAATGGGCACACTGGCAGACCTTTGTCCAGAACTGAGTGCAACTCAGGGCCTAATCAGAGATTTTGTAGTCAACCTTCCCTCAATGTACCCCTATCGACTGGCCAAAACCTAACTCACTCAGCTCTGCGCTGCACAAAAAGACCCATCACCCTGCATCGGATGGCCAGCCTCCCCTGGACCCCCAACTGTCCTCCTTGCTCACATCACAGAGATGGTCTGTGCTGTTGGAAGACTTCCTCTGCAGTAGATGACTGTACAGTGGTGCGGACAGCAAACAGAGCAGTTCACCATCACATCAAGGTACCTGTCACCATACGTTAACCAATAACAGTGTATGAATACACTCTGCTGTGCACAACAGAAATCAGACTGGTTGGGTAGCAAACTGCAAGTAGGAGTGTGTGTAAGCTTCCTTGCGCGACTAATTTTCCTGTTTTCCACTTTGATAATTCGCCTAAAATTTATGTGGTATTACTAAAATATTGATTGTGTGTCAGTGTAAAGCCTCTCCACTTAACACTGCAAGAAAGTGCAGCTAACCTCATATCCAGGGTCCCAGCAGAGAGTTGAAGTACGCAGTATAATTCCTACCAGTACCAACACAAACACATGTGAACACAGGACACACACACATAGACACACTCTCCCTGTGCTCCATCCACACCATCACACTCACTTTTGTACATTCACCCCCTCCCTCTCAGATAGAGCTTCCTGTGTAGGCAGTAGTGACTCATCCTGGCTCTCTGCTCCTCTCTAGATCTGCTCTGCTTCTGTGTGTGTGTGCGTGCATGTGTAAGTGAGTGCATGAGAGTGAATGTATCCGGTATCAGCAGAGCCCATGCTGTCCTAGAACCGGAGGTGTGTTCGCATGGGTGATTAGGAGCAGGGCCTGTGAGCTGACCACTGATGGAAATGAGAACGGACTGTCTGATTGTCCTCTATAAACAAGCACACACATACATTACTCTCCCGCCCACTCACCCTACCCACACATACACACACACACACACACACACACACACACACACACGTATTGATTTAAGTCTGGTCAGTTGACTTACTCATCCTGCCTCCAGCCTATAGGGTCTGCTCTGCTGAAGCTCATGGCCAATAGAAGTGGGGCTGGACCAAAGTGTATCAGTGCACATGGTCTAAATGTTGTCTGGTTGCATGAAACGTTCCTCCATCCTCTTCACATCTTTACAATTAAATACATGTCAAGATATCCAAAACTGTTTCTTCAGTGCGGAGGTTGCACGTCGGACAACAATTGACAGGCTACTCCACGGTCTAGGTCCATAAGCAACAGTACGTGCATACATTTAATGCTCCAATGCTTTATGACCTAAACCAGCAGTTATGAGTGTAAAAGGAGAGACAGTCACATATGTTAATAAACACAGGGATTAAATATTGTCATGATGGGTTTTTGGCTATGCTAGTGGCATGCCTGAAAAGATGGCAATGTTGGTCAGTTGGTCAGTCGGTCCACCATTTTGGTCCAGACTCAGATCTCCTTTTCCCCCCCGAGAACAACCAGCACATCAAAGCTTTCTTATCTTGTGAAATAATTCAACATTTTGTCCAGACATTCATGGGTTCTTGGGGATGAATCCTGATTATGATCCCTGGACATTTCATCTTAAGCCATCATCAGTTTGTCCAATAATTTGATTTATAACCAAATGCCTGAAAAACTAACGAGATTCAGCTTCGGCTGCAGTTTGTGTTTCAGTCTGATTAGCAAATATTAGCATGTTAACACACTAAACTAAGATGGTGACCGTTATACCTGCGATATATCAGCATGTTAGTAATATTTCTACCAACATTATAGCATACTGATTAACTGATTAACATTTAGTACAGCCTTACAGAGCTTTTAGCTTGGCTTGTTGACGTGTTTTGAGAGCTCCATTTTGTATGAGCCACAGGTTTTATTTTTTTTATTTCTTGGGTAGTAGCTTCAATAGTCAAGAAGAGAGAAAATAAGCATGGCAGAAATGTGTAATGTCAGAAACTATATGATAGACTTTTGCTATTTGGTGAAAAAAATGCAGTTTAATTGATCCCCAAACTGCAGTTTGAACCATTTGCTGAGTCTACTTAAAAAGTATTTGAACCAGTATTTACATCGTTAATCAATTTAGATGGTTGAGGTCATCGGGCAATACAGATATACAGTTGGCTGTCATCTGCATAGTGGCAGAATCAGACCAAACACACAAGTAAAAAGTTTGGCATTACAGTTGCAAATGCAACACATAATCTAACAAAGCAGCTATCTAGGATGCTACAGATTAGAACAGAATGTAATGTAGTCTCAGTGTTGTTACAGAAGTCTGGGAATTCAGGGATACAAAGAATTCACTTCCAATTCACAGGTCGTGCAGCTGCAGCCATTCTGTCTCATGGAAATACGACCATGCTCAGCCATGCGGACCCCTATTTGAGAATGGGAAGTCTCAGGGGATCCCCATTACATAAGACTGAATTATTCCATGACTGTCTATTCTTTAGACCCCTTGGATTGAGAACCACTGCCACCACCCTGTCTGAATTATTTTACATTGCAATCAGTGAGTAACTGGTGTTTTGTTGTGATTTCCTAGTACATGGGTAGTGTGGAGGTGACCCAGTCCATGAGAACGCTTGACTTTGATACGAGAATGCAAGTGACACGGTAGGAGGCCTCCCACTACCAGCACACGCACACACACACACACACACACACACACACACACACACACACACACATAATATGCATTGGTACATAAGAAAGAACATGTAACTGCTGACAGTCTCAGAAAAAACTTGAATAAGCTGATGATCTGTATGTGC